CAAGAGACATCCTTTGAAGAAGGTCCTAATCAGTCCACTTTTGGACCAATTTGGCATCTAAAATGGGTCCAAACTTGCAGGCCATGAAGTCCTACATAAAGTCACGTTTTTATAGCATAAAAAGGACTTACTTGATGTCCAAGAAAGGTAGAATAGTTGTGCTAGATGTTGAGTGCAAGTTGGTGCCAAGTTGCTTGCAAATTTCCTTCAAGATTTCCAAGATTTTCAAGATTCTATCCAAGATTGTTGTGGGACTTATTTCCATATATTTTGGGACTATATTTATTGATTTCTTAGTTAGTTAAGGTTATGTTTTCCTTTTCCTAAAATTGTTGGAATTACTTTATAAGATTGACTTGGTTTTTGTTTCCTAGAGTTTTACCTTTTCCTATGGTAGTTGGACTTATTGTCCAACGTAGTTTAGGACTTTATTTCCTTGTTTTTAGGTAGAATTTCATGACCCCCTTCCTATATAAAGGGGTATCTTCTTTGCTTTTAGATTCAGATTATTATCAATAAAAATCGTGAGATTTTCTTGCACTCTTGTGTGTGGCTACTATTGGATTTATTCTTCAACCTTCAAGACTTAACTTAAGGTGGTAAGATTAAACTCTTTCGAAATCTTAGATCACTTCTAGTGTGACGACCCAATTTTCCCCTCCGTTGGGTTTCGAGATGGCACCTAGTCTTAAGGACTAAGTAAGCCTAACAATTGCGGAATAATAACAATAAATAATAACATCTAAAATTCTTCTGGAATGCACATTTTACACAATGACCATATTCCCAAAATCCGATAGTACAAGTCATAAGCTCTACAGAGTTTCACTACAACTTCTAAACACAATTGTATGGAAATAAGTGCAACAACGTAAATATAAAATAGGAAGGTGACTCCGAAGCGAGTGAGCGCAGCAGCACGGCTACCTTGAGTCTCCTCGATAAGAATCTGCATAGCTACTAGCGAACAATACCTGGATCTGCACAACAAAAATCTGCATAAGTGTAGTATGAGCACACTACGGCGGTGCCCAGTAAGTATCAAAACTAACCTCGATGGAGTAGTGACGAGGAACAGTCAAGACACCTACTGGTCTAATAAACCGAACATGATATTTGTATAGAGACTACACAATACGGCTAACAATATATTAATTTCAATAAGGAAAGAAAACAACAGGTACTCAATGGAACACCATAAGGAAAACATGGAAAGGTAAGCGAGAATACAATCCAAATCCGAAACCCCAAATACAATAAAGACAAGTTATAACTCAACAGCCCCGATAGTTTTCACCTCAAGTCTTAACCAGTAAGCGTCTATCCAATAGTCAAATCTTTCAAGCGATAAAAATGGTTCAAAATGTACTTCCTTCAAATAATTGTTCTTTTCAAAATAATGTTTTTCGAATATAGTCTTTCAAATAGAAAACCTTCGAATATAAGTCACCTTGTGACACCTCATCTCATAATTATACAATATGGGTCTCTATACCTGACCCCTAACATTTGGCATCCCGTGCCCTCGACACACCTCCTAATCATACTGACAACTCACGTGCCTCAAAAGAGTCATTCTCACATGGAAGGCAAATAACGAGGGTGTACGTCTATACTCAGAAATCTAAAAGAGCCTCCTATCCAATAGGGTGCTTAGCCATGTGTATGCATGTGCAAGTGCCCTAACAGGTTCATACCATCTAGTAAGTATACAGAATATAATGGACAACACATATAATGTTTACACCGGGATAGGATCACTGGAAACAACAGCTTAGAGCACAGTGATAGCAACATGGGGATCTACCAGGATATTGTCCCCAAGTCCCAAACGTAAATGTGCAGTAGGATCTACCGGAATACTGATCCGTAGTCCTAAAGTAAATATGCAGTCTCGTAGTCCCAAAAGTAAACATGTAGGAGGGGGGGGGGGATCTACCGGAATATCATTCTGTAGTCCCAAAGTAAATATCAAGTACAAGGAAATCTACCGGGTGCAGTCCCGTAGTCCGAAAAGTAAACGTGCAGGGGGGATCTACCGGAATATCGTTCCGTAGTTCCAAAGTAAATATCCAGTACATGGGAATCTACTAGGTGCAGTCTCGTAGTCACAAAAGTAAACGTGCAGGGGGGATCTACCGTAATATCATTCCGTAGTCCCAAAGTAAATATCTAGTAACGGGGAATCTACCGGGTGCAGTCCCGTAGTCCCAAAAGTAAACGTGCAAGGGGATCTACTGGAATACCGATACGTAGTCCCAAAGTAGACATGCAGGGGGGATCTATCAGAATATCGTTCCGTAGTCCCAAATATAAATACGCAGCACAACAAACAGCGAACAACAGTTACAACACAACAGAAAGCTCGTACATCACCCCAATACATATAACCAAGGCAATAGCAATAAACAAGATAAGGCAAGTAAATCAACTTAAGGACTGTAAATCACAAGGAAGCGGTAGAACCAGCTCACAAGGAATAACCACAGAAAAGAATACCGGCATAAAGAGAACAGTTCAACAACGGAAAAACTAACATGTAGCAATAATCCCACAATATACAAGTCAACAACGAGGAAATCATCACGAGTCGAGTAGTCCCAAATATAGGCAGGTCAACAAAGATATAGGTTATCTAAGCTCCTTTTAAGGTTGGACAATTTCGAGGATATTCGATAATTCAACTTAAGGAAAGGTGATCTTAGCTCCACTTAAGACTAAACAATTTCAGGAGGGAAAATAATAATTCTCAAATAAGACAAACAACTATGAAAAGATAGCATGACGATAGGAGAGGCGAAATTCTTCAATTAAATCAAATAGGAATCAATTAGGCAATAAGAGTAAATCATAAAGCAATTAATTCCAATTGAGCATGTAGAGGTGAAACTAGTAAATAGGAAACTCAGTCATGTCAAGAACACATTCATACCATCTAGTAAGTATAAGGAATATAATGGACAACACATATAATGTTTACACCGGGATAGGATCACTGGAAACAACAGCTTAGAGCATAGTGATAGCAACATGGGGATCTACCAGGATATCGTCCCGAAGTCCCAAACGTAAATGTGCAGTGGGATCTATCGGAATACCGATCCGTAGTCCTAAAGTAAATATCCAGTATAAGGGGATCTATCGGATACAGTCCCGTAGTCCCAAAAGTAAACATGTAGGGGGGGGGGGGATCTACCGGAATATCATTCAGTAGTCCCAAAGTAAATATCAAGTACAAGGAAATCTACCGGGTGCAGTCCCGTATTCTGAAAAGTAAACGTGCAGGGGGGATCTACCGGAATATAGTTCCGTAGTTGGGGTCAAACGAACTTCGATTTTCGAGTTCTTTATATGTACAGACTCGTGAGATGATGAAGAACATTTTGGTATAAATTTTGTCCAGTTCTTGGACGCGGGCCGGGGGTCGGGTTTTGACTGATTTCGGGTTTTGTGCTTAAAATCGATATTTTTCAATTGGAATTCATATATTTAGCATAATATAATGATAAAAATCTGAACTTGGTAGATTTGGAGCACTCGGAAGTCGTTTCGAAGGGCAAACGCATTGCAAGCTAGATTTCGGGCCGGATTGAGGTGAGTAATGATTTTAAATGCTGTCTTGAGGGTATGAAACCCCGGAATTCATAGTGTACGGCTATGTTGAGGTGACTTAATAGCTAATTGTTTGATATTATTATATTTTGGGCTAAAAGCCATATGTGGGCTTCGTGCCAGCTGTTTGAACCCTTAGAGAATTTTTAAATGATATTTTCCTCACTGATTGATTTCATACTGGTGCTCAGTCATACTATATTTTTCTATTTTAGAAACTCAGCTGTATTATTCTGTTTTAAATACATTAAATGATATTTCAAAGGTATTTGAGCTGAGCTTCATATTTTACTGTGGCCCGAGGGGCTTATGAGATTCTGACTGAGTAAGGCCGAGGGCCTGTGTTGTGAGGATACATTTGGGTCGGGCTGCACGCCGCAACAGTGATACATTGATTATGATAATGAGGCCGAGGGCTTGAGATTGTACGCCACGAGGTGGCTTGAAATATTGATATGAGGCCGAGAGCCTGTTTATGATGCCACGAGATGGCTTGATATTGCGCTTGGGCCGTAAGGGGCCCCTCCTGGAGTCTGTACATCCCCAGTGAGCGCGGGTACCCATTGTGATATGAGATATAGCCCGAGGGTCTCGTATTGTTCTGTGACATTTGCCCGAGGGGCTGATTCTGCTGTTACTGTGCCCGAGGGGCAGTTATTATGTGTTTACTCTTCTGTTGTTTTCCTGCATATTATTTAACTGTTTGGAAGACGTTTACGAGATTTCACTGTTTTAATTATAATTACTGATTTGTTGTGCCTCTTGTAGCTTAATGTTGTGCCTTACGTGGATTTATATTACTCAGTCTTCATTTATTTTTATTACTCACTGAGTTGGAAGTACTCACTTTACTCCCTGCACCTTGTGTGCAGATTCAGGTATTTCTGAACCCGGTAGCGGGTTGGTTGCTCAGAGGCAGAGTCATCGGAGTTTAGCAAGGTAGCTGCCCAACGTTCGCAGCACTGCTTTTCTCCCTCTCGATTTCACTAGACTGTATCTACTACATTTTAGACTCTTGTTGTATTCGGACCTTAGTAGATGCTCATGAGTAGTGACACCCCGATGTCGGGCAGTGTTGAGTTTGTTTTCCGCAAATTATACTGTTAACTGCTTATTTTTGAGATTTTATCATGTTTACGACTTAATACTTATTATGTTACTGCTCATGATTGGAAATGGGATTGTGTCGGTTGGCCTTGTCTTCACGAGAGGCGCTATCAGATCCGGGTTTAGGGTCGTGACAGAAACTGGACATTCGACTGAGGCCTTATTCCTTTTCTTTACCATGTGTCTCTAAACATGTGTAATACTATTAATTTTTGCTTTTTTGCCACCTGTGTTTGATCTTTGCAGTAATGGGGACATCTGTCTTCCACTTCCACTTTCAATATTTTTCATACTTCATCACAAATTCTCTTTCATTTTCTTGCATTCCTCCCAGCTGATGTGGTGCTAAAAATTAGGGCTTATCTTTACAAAATTATCAATTCGCATACGTTGCTGCTTTACCGGTACATGACATTTCTTCTCATCGTATTCAGTTAGTTTCTGTTACCATATATTTTTTCTGCTTTTTCCCTTGTTTTACCATTATCCCTGAAGAACTAAAAGAGCAAAAATGAAACTTCAATTCTACCGAGTTTTTCATTTTTTTTTTCCTTTCACGTGTTTGTTTGTGCTTAGAGGGAAACTGCATTTGCCATCCACCATGGAGGTAGATTGAAGGCTTTCTAACAATAGATTTTTTAGTAGAGTGTTTCCGACGATAAACACTTACCTACAAATTACAACAATTCTGAGACATAATCTTACCCTTTTGAAAACATTTGAGATCTGAATCAAATTTGGGTACAATTTGAATCATTTTGTTTAATCTAGATCCAGCAATAATGACAAAGTGGCGTCTGCAAAAGTGCAAATGGATGAAAACAAATAAAGGTAAATGATTAGGAAAAAAGATAAATATTAATTAGTAAAAGCTCCACTTTTCTAACCATGAAGGTGGAAAGTCTTGCAAGCTCAAAAAAAATTGGTCGACCATAGAATATGAGACTCTGTGTAGTACAGATTCTTGTGTGTGTACCAATTGTGTAAGGGAGTTGTAGTTCATGAAGTCCTCATAAAATTTGGTCTTCTATCCCAACTGCTGGTTGGTTTTATAGTAGAGAGGTATACTTTGTCAGATACCAACGTTAAGTTATTGAATAGGGCTTTTTGGTGCTTTGCGTTATATAAAAAGTACTACTTTCTCAGTGTAACTTTTTTGGTTTGAAGTAATCAGATTGGGAATCAATTTGTATATTTATTCTATTTATTAGTTTTGTTGTAGTGGAGCTTGTGCAAACAGTTTTGCCTAATATTAGATTAGGCGCCAACTCTTAGTTAGTCTTTATGACTCAGAGCAACAGAAGATTACCGAAAAGTTCGGGAATTCCATGGAAGAGATTTAGAATGATCTAAAAACTTTCTTTTCGTGAAGGTGTAATACTTACACTTTCCTTTACTTTTTAAAATGAGCGTAATGAGTGATCCTTGTTCGGTCATAAATATGAGCTTCCTAAGTTCCATGAGTTTCCGTCTTATAATGCTTTCCTTGAACTTTATACAATATTCTACTATGAGGCTACGCGAAACAAAAGACATATGTGATTACTCTTGGTTACATCAATCGCTTAAAGTAAAAGGTCTTGCTTTTGATAAATTGACATGTCATTATTTGTTTTTTGGACTCTATGAGTCAAGTCCGCTGATCTTGGAGTTAAATTTATGACAATTATGATCCTCCCGGAGAAAATCAGCAGATAAGTTTACACTCAACATGATTATCAGTAAATATAATGAAGAGGTAAGATCAAGAAGGCACCTTTGATCTATTTACTCTAACGATTACCTTTTATATCTGTCCGAAGTGTTCTAAGTAGCTTTGTATGTACTATGTAAGCATTTCAGTTGTTAGCAAATGTCTCAAATCCATAAAGTAGAGTAGTCCCTTTTTTCCCTTGATCATTCATGGATTTCAGGTTGTTCATCATTTGCACAAATGAATATAAAAGGGGGATTAACAGATGAAATTCGAATCTCGAAGATTTGAAGGCAAAGGCTTCCTTGGTATCTTTTCTAAGCTCTACTGCACATGCATCAAAGCATTTTCATTAATGTGCTTTGGTATTTCAGTAAGAAATAAATTTACTTGAATCAAAATTTCTTCCTTCATGTGCTTTATTTTATTCCACTAAGAAACCTACAAATGGAATGTTGGTTGTTAGTGGGTCTTTCAAGCATTAAGGTAACACTCTTTAAATGGAAAATTTGTCTTTCGTATAAATCTTGCTATGCAAAAATTTTAAATTTGAATTATCCATGTTGAATTTCTTCTTTTCCAAATTGGCAAGTGAAATCAGTGCAAGGTCTAATCTATAACATTACTGTTCACTTTTACATTCCAGATGAGAATATTATGGGTGTCAATGATCGAGGTGAGAGTTCAACCAACGTACAAGTCAATGTTCAGATATGAAATTTTTTATTTAATATCATGGCTTTCTTTNAGATAGTTCACGGAGAATTTCTTAGCACTATCTTTTTGTACAGAAAAAATGCAACATACACCAAAAAAGTTCATATATGAGTATCTCAGTGCAGGTTATCTTGGGAAGCTTTACTTTAATTTGACACTCTAGCTAAGATTAATGGTATGAGTAACTTTGTCCTACGCCTAGACATTAAGTGCTAAACCAGTTGCCGAATTCCATATGACATTCAGTAATCAAAATATTTTATCCTCTCGGCAACAAATCATATCATCAAACAGTAGCTTGTTTGGACATGACCTTTATATTGAAAGAAATATTCTTTGTAACCATATCCAAAACATCAGCAATTTTAGGACCAGACAAAACGCAATAGCAAATATCGGAAACACACTTTGAAACCCCAAAGATACAGTGAAATCTCATTCTCCACCCTCAAATGAAAAAATAATAAAAAGAAAAGAGAATCAGTTTGAGTATTTCTAAGAATAGGGAGGAGATGGAAGGATAATCTTACTTTGCTCAAATTCATCGTTAAAGCATTTGCCGAAAAAGTCAGACCAACGGAAGTCAAATCAAAAGTCTAGGTTATTCCTTGCAAAATCAAAAAAAGTTGAAGCGAATCTCAGGAAAAACGCAGCTTCACTAAATTGAAGAAAGAAATGAGAGGAACTGAAGTCATAAAATAAAGACAACGGAACACCCAAGAAAACCATAAATGGAAATACAAAGAGTATAACTGAAATTTCATACACTAATTGACATACCGACCTAAATTACTTTAAGCCGTCTAAAAGATGAGAAATTACAGCGGAAAAAATTTCATATTTTGGATAACACTTGGTACTGGTGGTATAGGAGAATCAGCAAAATCAAAGAGAGAGAAAGATGGACGGAGAAGAAGCACATGAGAGAAATAAAGAAATGGAGAATTGGAGATTGGAATGGGTCATGGATGGGGATAACTCGGATAGATGGAAAGGACACGTAAGGACTTAGGAAGAAGCACAATAATACAACAACTGGACTCAGTTGAAATTCCGCAGATGCCCTTATTTTGAAACGTAATGACAAATAAGCAAGCATGTCGAAACTCTTCGCTGAATAACTCATAGTAGATAATTGCTCGATAGTACTGATATTGTCAGCAGATTAATATCCTTCGCAAATAGTGAAACTCCCTGCTAAGAGAATGTATAGCTCTCATTGATTGCACAGGCAAAAGTATTTTTTATAACTATTCATATCTTTTTTTAATAATGTCTTGTTAAAGTAGCAAAAGGCAAGGAAAAAATAAAAGAATCAAATGCTTAGACTTTAATATGAATACAACCAAACTTTTTAAATCCATAACAGTCAGATTTTTACATTCATATAAAGTATCAATGGATTTTGGATACTGAATATCGCCCAACAAGACGAGGCAGCTTCATAACAACCGGTTTTGACAGACTATAGTCGACAGAAACATAACTAATTGTAATTGATACTCAATGTCTGTCAAAAAAAAAACAATCCCCCAATTTCATCCATCAAAACCCTAACTCAGAAATTTCCGGATGTTGTGTAAGTTGAAACAAATTGGAACAAAAAAAAGGAGAAACAACACATAGAAAATAACAAAATCGATATTAAAGACTAAGAAATTTACCTGAAAGTTCAAGAGATTTGAGAGAGAAAGTGGGAACAAAAAAAATTTTATTTTGGTTCTTTTCATGATTTTTAATTTTATAATAGAATGGTAAAACTGCATTTTTAAACTCTAACCTTGCTGAGTTTTGAAGTTTCGTGCTTTCCTGGGTGCTTCACGTACTTGTTAATTTTGCAATTTGAGAGCTGTTATAATGGGAGAAAAATATGATAGTTAATCATAATATTTTAACAGACTGAAGCATCAATCTGGTGAAGGTGTTTCTAAAGCTCTTATCAAAGAAGTGTCTTAAAATTTTTACTGTCTTAATAATTTGTTTTTAACAACCTTTTAGTATTAAATGGCAATTGAGAGTCAAAAACAATGAGCCCAAGGACCAACTTGATTTTGATTAAAGAAACAGAGTACTTTCATTGGTAAATTTCTGGCGTCCTAGGTATTTTCACACACTAATATGGCTGAAAATCTTGACTTTTGATGTGGAAGTTTTTAATTATTAAATAGTAGTCTACTCCCAAGTTTCATATATGTTTTGCTGGTGTATTTTCTTCCCGATAAATGACTTTGATGATCTATCTTTGCGTCAATGATTACTGTGAGTATATTCGTTAGATGTTACTTATTATAAAAAAGTCTGTGGTAATTATTGTTCTTAATTTCTTGAAATGGTTGATGCATAGGGCACTATGGTTGTGTTGATGGACAATGCACTTTATTTGAAAAGGATTAATGTTCACCTCTGTCTAATTTTCTTTCATGTGTTACAAGAGATGATCTATATAATGAGAATGACTAATGGATGTATACCTACGTACAATGACGTTTAGAGTAATGATAATAGACTGGATACATGCCAAATTTTAGATAGAAAATCTAACCATTATGGTCCCTATAGGCAGCACGCTGGACTATTATGAAGCAAACAAGTTTGACCTTAATAAAATGAATATTTTTACTTGCTAAGAGTAATAAGAGAATATATGACGGATTAGAAAATTATTAAAATTGACTTTAGTCATTAAGAAATCAACATGTTGAATCAATATTTTGGATATCATTTTGCTGATTGTATGTATTGATGAGTATTGAAGCTACAAGTCCTTGCTCAGATGGTCATCTTTTGTTCTTGCTTAGTTGAACATCTTTTAGTTTGCATATAGTTGTTGGCTGTGACTTTTACTTTGATAGTTCTTAGTCCCTAACTAGCAGATATTCCGTACATCCCAAAAGAAAGAGAATTACTTTGATCTTTATGGTTGGAGGTGCTTGATATGTGTTTTAGAGTGGAGGTGGATAGGAAAGCATTCTTTTAGTTTCTTTATTCTAATAACTGTAAATATAGGAATGCTTTGTACCATGGATTTTATTGAAAGGGTCCTCCAAATAACATAGTTAATTGTTTTCGCAATTATTTAAACTTAGAGGCTAGAAAAAAAACTACTTTTTCCTAATTTTCTTGACTATGTGACTACGCCGTAATGCATACAGAATTAGTTGTCAGCTTCACATTTAATAAGGATATTTCTTTCCTGTAAGAATATTGAGTCTTGAGTCTGGTCCAGTGAGGCATCAAGTGCTTCTGTAAATGATCATTGGAATACCATACATTTTAGAGTTTATCAATTTGATGTTTAACTTAAAGAATTAGTTTTTATATTTTGCTAATCCAAGCACAAACCATATCCTGTTTGAATGTCTCCTTTATATATGAAAGTAAAATTGTGTGTAAGATCTATTCGAAATAGCCATCTTACATGTCACTTTTGTCAATCGAGAACTTTATACCTTGGATCGTATTCATAAACTTTTTGTGTTGTGTAAAGGCTCATTTAAGTTTATTGACCATCCAATAGGGCCATGAGTTCAGACTGTATTTCTTTATTATTAAGAGATCTTCCCTTCCACAGCAGATTAAGAGGTGAAACATACCCAACATGGTGCTAATGTGAATACAATGATCAGGATCTGTAAGGGCTTGTTTGTTCGCATATCTTTTTTTTCCCTTTTTCATGTTGGATTAAAGATCCTCTAACAATATCTTTATTGTATTTGATCGTGCAGGTATGTCTTATTTTAGAAGCTACCTCACTGATAAAGTAATATGAGAGTAATATGATGGTTAATATAAGATAGTAGCATAACAGTTGAAACTTGCTGATAGGTTTATTTCTTTTTAAGTAATATGTATCCGGTCTATTTGAAATATTGCATTTATGAGGATGAATCTCACTAATAAGTTGTCTGATGTTAATACTTCTGGTGGGAATTGTCACTTATATATACATTCTCTACGCTTCAGGTCATATCTGTGCTCTTGGTGTTCTGTTAGGTTCTTTTAATTCTGAAATAATGACAATTTCCAGCACGGGCCATAACCATCTATATAATTGAAGAGCCAGAGTTTCGACCTGGTTACTTCATGGCAATAAAAGTAAAGTTAGGGTTATTCTAGTCATTTTAGTATAAACTCTACGTGGATTTTTTTTTATTGAATCCACCGCATACATTAATCCTTATTTCGCTATTTTTCTTCATAGTGAGCTTTCTTCTCTCTTCATCTTCCCCGCTGATGCCTTTGATTTTCAATGAATTTTACTGATAATACATAACTAGGTTTTTTTTGTGCTCAATTCAGGTTTTATTTTGCTTTAATTTCAATTCAGTTAGATTTTTAAGTTTTTTTTTCTGCTGTTGTATATAACTAAATTGATATTTGTTCAGTTTCAAAGTTAATTGAGGAAAGAGCATTTGTAGCGAATAAGGTCAAGAAGTGGTCAAGAATGGTACGCTCAATGGACATGTCTCTCTTGATAATTTGAAGTAAGCTTTTTCTTTTGCACCATTCGTGTTTGATGACATGCAAAGCCTCTTTGATACTCGAGTCACTAAGGTTTAAGAATTTATCCTATTGTTGAATTTGATTTTAGGGGTTTTGTTTCTTTATTTTTGCAGGACTTTGTTATTGTAGAATAAAGGTATTTATATGTACTGGTGACGTTTAAACCGAAATATTTTTCTTGCTTGAATTGTGCTAAAAGAAAGTAAGAACTTCGTGAGAATATTTTTAGTAAGGATCAATAATCTTACCTACAACAATAGAAGAAAGCCGAAACCTTTGCAGGCTCAAACCTTCATGCTTCATCAGCTTGATTGAATAATGTTAGGACAAAGAAAATAAAGGCCATGGCGTGGTCGAGGCAACACTCAAATAAAAGAAACCTGAGTCCAACTGCATTATCAACAAAAAGTATCTCCAAAATAATTTTTGGCCACCTTATCACAATGGCACAATGCTGCAGCAGCAAAATAGTGTGAGATAGCCAAATCTGCTCTGCTTCAAGCAGCAACAAAGGCA